TATGTACTGTTTAATGGCCTCTGATAATTGGGGCTAGGAAACACTCTTGTATATAAAATACCTACCTCTTTACACTCCACATCTAACACTCTACATCAAACTCACAGTGCTAAATGCAACCTAATCTTATCTTCTCATGGATGCTGTCCATCCTTTCAGACCAGTTACAGTACATATCAGTATCTTTGTTAGTGATTTAATTGATGACTTACGTTGTTCTGAATGGAATATTATGTGTACAAGTTAAGGTGTACCTGTACTGAATTAAAAATAAACTGACTTCAGGACTTAACTGGTCATCTATTCTGTCTTCCAGGGGCCCCAGGTCGTACTACTATGCAAATACAAACTTCATCTTGAAAGTCAGCCTGTTAGCCCTTAGCTTGCAACCTGATGTGTCTCGTTATTGGTTGGTGAGGTTGCCCATAACCTTGTATAACCAAATAGCAAGTTACAGGAGGGGTCATGCCTAAGCACCACCTTTCTCGCTGAAGTAGCTATATGCATAATACAGTGGCCGGTTTCAGGGCTCCTCTGAACCTCCAGAAGATAATTCAAGGTGTGCACAGCTACCTCTAAGTTCTGGAGTCAGTTCAAATATTCTTAATTCAGTATATAGTCACATGAAGCAGAGCTTGGTCAGTAATGGTCATGAAAGTTTGTCTTCCATTATGAATAATATACTTTAAAGGGAACTTTACTGTTTTCTTACCAGTCATTAATATCATTATTATGAGCTTGTCCACTGCCATTCAGTTGAGTTGTCCAATCGATGATCCTCTGCCATTCCACAGCTTAGACTCTTTGCTGAGTGAAATATTTAAACAAATGTGGTGTGCAGTTGTACATTCACATTTAGAACCTTATACAGCACTGTTCAGGCGAGTTTCCCCTCCTAATAATTGTGGGTTGATAATGGAATTTATTTCAATGCAGTAAGGCTGGATTTTCACCACATGCATTGAGTTTAGTGTGTGTTGACGCACACTGAATGTACTTGAGTTGATGTGCATTGACATGCATTTTACCTTCTTGCATTGATGTGCATTTCTTTTTTACGGCAGCAGCCAAAATACTTTTCCTTACCACTCGCAGCAGCATGCTGACATGTTGTAATACATTGTGCTGCATTTAAACGCAGCTTGTTCCATTTTCACACAACACGCACCAACATGGCCCATTGGGAACAACAGATTTCAGCTTGCCATTGCAATGGGCCTGTTCCGAGTAACTCAAGCCAACAAACATGGTGTGGATAGGCCGCAGAGTTTTTTTTTTTTTTCTTGCAGGCCCCCTGAATTGGGATGAAAAGCACAATTTGCAAACAAACGAATGCAGTACTCTGGAACACAAATTTAAAGGGGATACATAATGTAAAAACCAGTAATGTGTGTGTGGGTGACCTAAAAGGTCCATGTCACCAACTTGCACTGGAAAGTATTTTAAATGCTTACTACTAATGCAGCGGGTTTTGTTTTCTTTACATAATTTATCTTTTGTTTACATGCAATGTGCCTTTTGACCTATCCAGGAAGAGTCAATTCCCTAGCACAGTGACAGATCTGAGTTTGTTTGTGCTGCTGTCATCACCACTAAGATGGTGACACCCAGCAGCAATCTTAGGCCTTTTGGATGATTACACAGGAGAGGATTTTACAGATAAATAACAATCATAGCATACATTAAATGCCCATATATTCTTTTGGGAAAACTATTGTTGAAACGATTGGTCTGGTGGTGGTCTCTTAAATCTGAATCCCAGATCTAATCAAACATCAAAGGGAATTTATAGAGGGTTCATATATGTTTTCTGTGACGTTAGAATGGATCTTGGCAGGTGAAAGTGTGATGGTAATACAATAATAGTGTTAACTTGTTGACGTTATGGCCATTTTCCTTCTAGGTTGCCCTTTCTGCAAACAGACTTGGAGCCATGTGTTCTTTGTATGCCAGTACCTATGCATATGTAGTCAGGGCATTGTTCCTGCTTTCAAAATGTTGCATAGAATTTTATATATTCAATCTACTACGGAGACCATTAGAATACTGTGTGTTTTCATTAAATGATGTTATTTGTAAAATCACCCATTTGGGACTGTTTTGGAATTCGTTCCTTTAATTGCGAATATGGCTAAATTACAGACCTTGTACATTCAAATAACCACAATACCCCAGTATCTCCTGTGTCAGTCATTAAATACTGGCAACCCTGATAAAGGGTATTCTAAAGTTGCCCATAGACATTAGATTACATCCTCCCAACCTTGCAGGCTTATATATTAAGGTGCCAAAAGAACCTGTCAAGTTTTAAAACCTCTTCCATTTGCTGTTGACTTTCCATGCACCAGGGCGGTCTGTATGTGGCTCCCCAGTAGGGCTGCAACAACTAATCATTTGTGGTCATTGTAGACCACAAACTGAAAGGTAGTTTGCAGTGCCAGGCTGCTGTAAACAATCTCCTCTGTTACTCTCAACCAATTTGGCTGGAGAATTCCTGCGTGGGGATTCAAACAGCCCAAGAGATATAATGAGACAGTCAGATAGTACATGTAAGTCTGAGTGTTCTGTAATCTCAGAGATCAGATGGTTCCTAAGACTGCCAGTTTATACTGTCTCCGGAATGTAATTTCCCATACCTATGCAAGTAAATTGCTGTTTTTTTATTATGCATTGTTTTTATTATTGGTTCAAATGCAGTAATTTTTTTACCCAGTAATGAAAAATGTATTTAAATTGATTTTCTTGTCAATTTGAAATGTATTTTAACAAGAGGCCAAATACATATAAATAAAAGCAGGCCCAATCAATTGCATATTTTTTGTAGTCTAAAACTTTGTATTTTGTACTGTTGTGGACATAATGCTCTTACTGATCTTACAACTCTTGTATTTATTTTTAGTTAAATATACTGTGTACTTTTTAATGCAGCTATCATGAGCACTGTAATGAAGGCTACAAATGTTTTTTTTAATGTGCCTTGTGATGGTATGAAGAATCAACATATATACCTGAGACGTCTTAGCATTTCACAAACTTTGGGTCAGTCATTTATCACTAACATCCACAACACTCCACTGACCGTCACTCCACTGACCGTCACTCCACTGACCGTCACTCCACTGACCGTCACTCCACTGACCAACTTTTCTGTGTTCAACAGAGCCCATATCTAGCATGGAAATTGTTCTGTAATGGGTATTGATTTACAATTTCGGCCTGTCACTCACTATCACTGTATTTGTGCATCTTTTTTTTTTAATTTACCCATTTTTTTTGGTAAATAATGGGGTCATGTGGGGTAAATAGTTACCAAACGTGTCAAGCCTTAAAAGTCGGTGAAATCACAAAAAACTACCATACCCAAAATTGCCCATAGGTCGCTCATCATTTTACTGTTAACAGTGATTGATGGCCCTAGAATTATTGCTTGCACTCCAGCGTTTGCGGTGATATGTAATATGTGTGGCACAATTGTCGTTTTTGCACATAGGTGCACCTGACGCGTCTTTGCGTTTGTATGTACATGGGGCGGGGGATTTACTAAAAATCCCCCTATGTGATGGCACAGATACAGTGACAGTCCTCTATATGGAGACATCAGGGGTCTATTAGACCCCTAATGTCACCTAAGGACCCCCAAATGAGCTAATAAAGACATTGCTTCACCAGCTTCTTCTCTGGCTACAACAGCCGGAGAAATGACAGACTGAAACCAGAAGTCATGTAGTTCACATCCCTTCAACTTTCAGTGATTGGAGAGGAGATCAGCAGCTGGAAGTGTGCTCATCACCCTCCAATTAATGTGCCGGATCCGATAGGCTGGTCCCGGGACAGCGAAGCCTGGATAGCCGGCGGGAGGGGGAACACACACGCACACTCCCTTGTACCATACAAGCGATCAGGTGGCTCTATAGCCACGGTAACACATTTTCACACTGTCCTTCTTGTGTGCACACTAGGGGATGCGCACAAGCAGGAGGAAAAAAAACAAAACATTTATTTACTGCGACCTGCTGTCAGGAGCCAGTCGTACATTTTGTTTTTTTTAATGGGCGGACGGCAAGCACGTAATTATCCTAAAATTAGCTTTATATTTGAAGAATAAGTATCGAGATTCTTTACTTTAGTATAACCACTGATACCTCTCATTTACTTGCTGTCACTCTGCTTTTGGATCACCTCCTTTTCCTTTCCAAAATGACCAACTCGCCACCATTTGAGGACATTGCTTCTTCTTCGTGTCTT